ACCCTGAAGATGGGGGCGATACGTTCCTCCGAAACGTCGGTTAACACCACATACACACGGTGCCAAATCCCAGAAGACTGCTTTCTTCAAAGTCACCGCCGTGAAAGCCTCAAATCTTAAATAATAATAAAATTTTTCGAAAATATTTAGCAGTACTCAGACGTTCAAAAATGTCTCTTGTCTTACAATTTGAATTAATATTAAAAATCGGCTCAATTATATGTGGTTACGGAGGGCGCCGCATTGGACAGGGCTGGTCTAGACCGTAACCAGTAGTTATCCCGGCTCCTATGTGTACGTCTTCCTTGTGTGAACACTTTTCTTTCATGTTCGAAACAAATTAAATTTAGATTAATAAGATCATGATATGCACAACTTGGTTCAGCTTCTATATATAATATCCAAGAAAATGCATGACTGACGGTAATTCAGTGTACTATATGCATAATGGTGACATCATGGGTGTACATGAATGGATGGCGAATAATATTGTCACATGTTTGGAATCCAGAAGGGTTACTTCCATGGAAACGCTAGAACAGACCGTTACATAGGAAGTAACAATAGCGATACTGTAATCCCAACAGTGAGCCGTTGCGTAGAGAACGCCGAATCTCCCCGGAGATGAGTCTCCACGGTTATAACGAGGGTTCATTGCATAGCAGCGGCCGAGGTTATAAAAAAGAGTTGAAGGCATTTGCCAAGTCAGTTGGAACCTAGACGCCATATGATGTAGAAGAAGACAGCAAGAATACAGTAGAGGTAGTAATTGTGATACTGCAAGTGATAATAATTGTAGGTTTGTAAGTGTGAGTGTCCAATAAAGATTCGCTAAATCCGAGACCCACGTGAAGTTATTTGTCGCGTGACATACCCAGCACGTGACAATATTATGAGTCCAAATAGATAGTACTCATGCGGTCACTGCGGAATTTGTCCCGATGTTTACTTTAAAAGCATAAACCAACAAAAACTGGATATTAGGCGTACTGTTCTGGATGCGGGTATTAAGAAGTTATAGTAGGAGATGATAAGATTCAAGGACAAATGTGTAGGCCTTCGGACATCCTATGAAGGCCAGTTCAACATATACGCTCTATCACAAGCGTCCCGCCCTAACGACGATCACTCTATCAGCCACCGCGCTGAACGCCCCGCCATGCCTGGGACGCAGACATAATTGCTGACTCTCCTCTAAGCCTTCTTTTATTGACTGTATACGTCTTGCCGTGGATGACTCTTCCAGTATTAACACTGATTTCAAAGGCCTACAAAAAAAAAAAATTTTTTTGGTGTCTAGGATTTTAGAACTAATTTTAGTTATATTTAAGGCGCTGAATCTAAATATAAAATCAGTTTTTCTCTACCAGCTCTACTTTTTTAGATCAGCGTTTTTGTAAC